AAAGGGAGGTTCCGGGGCTGTCCCCTGCTGGCCACTGTGTGACTGGCTCTCAGGAATCCCCAGCCCCTGAATGGGCTGCCCGGGCCCCTTGGGTGGGACAGGGCTCCCGGCTGGGCAGCTGCCCCACCCCCCTCTAGGCTGGGCTGCGGCGGCACAAGGGGAAGGATTGTTCCCACCGAGGTGTCTGGGCCAGGAGACACAGTGCCACTGTGTGTCTGCTCCCAAGGGTGTGGGCCGAGGGTTAGTCACTGCTGGCTGGCGGTGGAGGCCAGCGGGGGACCCCTTGCCCTCTTCTGGACCCCGGCTGGTGGGAGAGATGGACGTCAGAGGCCACAGACAGCCACTTGTTCCTTGTGCCATCCAGCCTGTGAAGGCCACCGTGCACCCCCTCTCCATTGACCACCCTGAGCTCCCAGGACTGCCCACCCCCCAAATCATCCCAGAGCACAGAGGGAGCTCGCGCCTCAGTTCCCACCCCCTGACTGGACAGGGGGAAACCGAGGCCCAGGCCCGACTGCTGCGGAATTCATAGACAGACACCTCCCGCAGAGCAGTCAGGCACGAGGACTTTGAAACCACAGGGCCAAAATTTAATTCCTACCCTGTTGTTTACCAGCTGCGTGACCTTGCGCAAATGGCTTCACCTCCCTGAGCATCTGTTTTCTATTTTGGGGGGTGGGTGAGTACGAGATTGAACTCGGGGGCACTCGACCACTGAGCCCTATCCCCAGCCCTAGTTTGTGTTTTATTTAGAGACAGGGGCTCGCTGAGCTGCTTAGCGCCTCGCTGTTGCTGAGGCTGGCTTTGAACTCATGATCCTCCTGCCTCAGCCTCCTGAGCCACTGGGAGAACCGAGGTGCCTCTCTGCGCCCAGTCTGTTTTCTTTGTGTTCTTCCTTTGTTTCCTGAGAGACAGGACCTCTCTTTGCTGCCCTGGCTGGCTCCCAGTTCCTGGGCTCAAGCCGTCCTCCTGCCTCAGCCTCCTGAGCAGCTGGGAGCACAGGCGCTCAGCACTGCACCAGCCAGCAATGGCCTCGTGGGTGAAGTGGTGCTTATGACAGAGCTGGAGAGCTGCCGTGGGAGGCCAGTGCTGAAGCTCCCACTCCCGGTAGGTCTGGGGCCTCTCCAAGCCTCAGTCTGCCGGTCTGGGAAGTGGACTTGCCAGCTCATGCCGGCCTTAGTGGCTCAGGGGCAGGTGGAATTCTGGCAGCGTGAGCTTTGCGGCTGGCTAGAGCTCCCTCTGCAGGAGGGGGCCGATTGGCAGTGGCTGCCATTCGTCCCTAGTGACTGGAGCTGGAGTGGGGAACTGTGGACACTGGCCAAGCAGGGCCTTCCGGGAGGTGGTTGGAGCCGGGCAGGCTTGGTTAGGACCCACCTTCTCTGCTGTGTGACCTGAGAAGGACCACAGGGCTCTCGGGGTCTCAGTTGTCACCTGTTAACCCAGAATAAGTGGTGTCTGTCTTCCAGGGTGGGTGGCACCCAGAGTGCTCTGGGGTGTCGCTGCTTTATCTTCTGCCGTTAGGGCCTCTTCTGTGGCCTTGCGATGGGCTATGACTTCAGCCAGGCTTGTAAAATTTTGTCCAAGTCACTTTCTGGCCCTGGTTTCTCCCGACCCCTCCCTGGCAGGCTCTGGCCTGGTGAAACCTGAGCACGGTGCTGGTGGCCTCCATTCCTTGTGTTGACACTGGCGCCCCACGGGAGGCCCGGCCCTGTGGTCAACGCTGCCTTTCAGGACAGTGGGCAAAGTAGGTTTTGTGCACTCCTGGAAACCAGCCCTCACCTCCTCCACCCTAGAGGAAAACACCCCTTTCCAGGAAACCCAGGAGAAAGTGGTGCAGCCTTCCCGCCAGCGCCAGAGTGAAGGTGGGTGATGGAGGGGCCTTTCCCGCTCAGCGTGGCGGGCTTGCCCGGGCTCCTGGCCCTCGCCTGGCCTTGCGAGGCCCTCAGACCTTGCCTCCTCTCTGTAAAGGAGCAGAGCTGTTGAGCTCCTCCTGGGAGTTTGTGAAGGAGGAGGAGAGGGAGGAGGAGGAGAGGGAGGAGGAGGAGAAGGAGGAGGAGGAGGGAGGAGGAGGAGGAGAGGGAGGAGGAGATGGAGGAAGAGGAGGAGGAGAGGGAGGAGGAGAGGGAGGAAGAGGAGGAGATGGAGGAGGAGGAGAGGGTGGAAGAGATGGAGGAGAGAGGAGGAGGAGATGAAGGAGAGGGAGGAAGAGGAGAGGGAGGAGGGGGGAGGAGGAGGAGGAGAGGGAGGAGGAGATGGAGGAAGAGGAGGAGGAGAGGGAGGAGGAGATGGAGGAAGAGGAGGAGATGGAGGAGGAGGAAAGGGTGGAAGAGGAGGAGGAGAGAGGAGGAGGAGATGAAGGAGAGGGAGGAAGAGGTGGAGGAGAGGGAGGAAGAAGAGATGGAGGAGGAGGAGGAGATGGAAGAGAGGGAGGAGGAGGTGGAGGAGGAGGAGAGGGAAGAAGAGTTGGAGGAGGAGGAGAGGGAGGAGGGGATGGAGCAGAGATGCTCTACAGAAGTGAAAGGAGTCTTTTCAGTCCTCTGGTGGGAATAAAATGAAACATGAAGAAATCTAAAGTTGGGCACATGGTGTGTGTGTGTGTGAGAGAGAGAGAGAGAGAGAGCAGGAGGGAGGAGGAGTGAGAGAGATTGGGGGAAGGACCCCACACAGGCAGGCCCGGTGGGCAGGTCGTCCCAGGACAAGGTCTGGCCCTGTGAATCCCCTCCCCTGAGCTGGGCTGGAGGCCGGAGGCCGGAGGCTGCGGAGACTTTGGCCTCAGGGACTCGGATGGAGCTCTCTGGGGTATGTGCCTGAGGTGAGATGGGGCCCTGGCCTTGGCCGAGTGCGAATGGATTGACGCGTGTGCACGTCTATCCCAGGGCCCCAGCAGGGCCGCCTGCAGAAATGTGAAGTCTTGTCACCACTCGTGGGACCCCAGGACTTGGCAGCTCAGTCAGCAAAAGGTGCTCCTCACTGAGAAAAAAACAGATGAAAAGCAAAGCAACGGAGCTGTGAGGGGGTTGCCCTTGTGGGTGCCGGCTCTAACTCCACCGTGCAGGGCCACCTGTCTCCCCGCTGGACCTCGGGCTCTGGGCAGCCCTGGAGAGGGTGGCGGTGCTGTGCCCGGAGCCTCACCTGTCCCCGCTCCGAGGAGCGCAGGGAGCCGTGCAGGGGTGGCTGTCTTTGGAGGTAGATACCCAAATCCCGGTGCCTTCCCACTGTTCCCGTTGTGTCCCCGTCTAACCCTGGACTTGCTTGTCCTTCTCGGCTGGGAGGGGCGGAGCCGCTGGCCCCTGGTCCTGCCCACAGGATGAGCGCACTGCTGCCCACAGCGCCAGGCTCCGGGACTGACGGTGGGACGGTCATGGGGACCCCGAAGCCCATCCCCATGCTTTGCTCGGTCTCCAGAGGAGCAGCTCACTCAGGGGCCATGCTGCCCACATGTCCCTTGGTGACACTGGACTCGCGGTCGCACAGTGGGGCAGATGCTCCCAGCAGCATCCTGTGTGGCTGGTGGGACCCTGGCCGAGAGGCCGTCTTGCCCCGCGGCTCCAGGACACCTGCTCTTGCCAAGGAGGGGGAGGCTGCTCCGGCACTTGCAGGGCTATTTCTGTCCCACTCTCTGAGTTTTGGTAAGATTTATCCAACACCATGTTTGTCATTGTGACCTTTCATAAGCGATGACTCCATGCTGTTCACTAAGTCCACAGTACCACTGTGTAGCCAGCACCTCTCTCTCTCTTGCAAATCCTTAGCCCCCCCAAACAGAACTCTGCACCCACTAAACAATAACTCCCCTCGCCCCCTCTCCCACCCCTGGAGACCTCTGCTGTAGCCCCTGTCTCTGTGATTCCTCCTGCTCTGAGAGTAGGTGGAGTCAGGCAGCATTGGGGCATTTGTGTCTGGCTTGCTTTGCTGGCGTCATGTTGTTAAGGCTCATCCATGTCGTAGCCAAGGTCAGACTTCACTCCTTTTTAAGGGCTGAATACTATGCCATGGTACTAGGCATCGTGTCCTGTTTCTGCATCTCCTTGATTACCCTTCGCTTGCTCACGCCTCTGGCACCGGTGAAGAAGGACACATCTGCTGGAGTCCCTGCTTCTGTGTCTTTCGGGTCCCTGCCTGCTGTTGGAGTGCTGGTCTGCGGTGACCCTGTGGGGAAGCTGCCACGCCCTTTTCCTTGGTGGCAATGGTTCTGATTTCTCCCAAGTCCTCACTGACACTGGAACTTTCCGTTGGGAAAAGTAGCCATCCAGGTGGGAAAATCAGTGCTCTTTCTCATCAGATGAGAACCGGGGCTTTGGCCAGGCGACATGTCTCAGAAGTGATTCTGCCGTAACTGGAGGGCCCGCCCTTAAACCCCTGTGTGTTCTGCTGGCTTCATGGTTTGGTTCTGGTTTTGCGGGGCAGGGGGTGGCCCCGGGACCTTGCAGAGCTGGGCGGGTGCTGTCCCGCAGAGCTGCACCCCCGCCTTACATTCTACTCGTACAACATATGTGAAATGGTGCAAATGGAAATCTAAGGGTATGGAGAGAGGGGAGTGCCTCACGAGTCCTCTTCTCTTAGTGCCCCCACCAGCCTGCCGCAGGGCAGTGACTTTCCAGAACTTCCCGCCCTTCCCAACCACCCCAGCATGTATGAAAGCTAGTGTGCTACCTGTTGTATACACAGTATCACTTTGGTTGTTGGGGGGCAGATCTTCCCACTGAGCAGATGCCCTTCTTGGGCCTGGGGGTTGGTAGCACTGTCCCCTCCTTGTGTTATTTACCCCCGAGGAGGGGGTGTCTGCTGTTACCATTATTCAACCCCGAGCCCTGTCCCTGTGCTGACATGGCGCGCAGCGCTGGCCACGGTCCAGAGCAGTGTGTGTCCTGGTGCAGCTCCTGGTCCCCTCTGCACATCCGGCCTCTGTTTTCACACGCTGCGGGGCCCTCTGGGCTGCCTTCCAGGGTCAGTTTCCTGCCCAGCACGCCTGGCTGACCTTCTGCGTCTCCGCTTTGCAGGCCAAGAATAAGGAGACGGGCGCCCTGGCCGCGGCCAAGGTCATCGAGACCAAGAGCGAGGAGGAGCTGGAGGACTACATCGTGGAGATCGAGATCCTGGCCACCTGCGACCACCCCTACATCGTGAAGCTCCTGGGTGCTTACTACTACGACACGAAGCTGTGGGTAGGTGCCCGGCCCCTGCGGCCCGCACGGCCTGGATCCCGGGATGCTGCTACACGCCAGTCGACCCGAGATACATGCGTAGCCCGTCGCGGCCTCGGTTTCTCCATCTGCACAGTGGGGGTGGCACGGCGAGATGAGCATCTCGGGGGCCTGGAATCTGGGGGGCTTGTGAGACCTGAGAGGTGCTCTCATGTTTCAGGTCTAGAGTGCATCAGGCTTGGGGTTTGGGGATGAGGATGCTCAGATGATGAAGTCTGCAAATATTCCCAAATCTGAAGCACTTCTGCTCCCCTCCGGTAAGGGTTCCCAACTGATGGTGCCTGGCTCGCGGAGCGGTTCATTCTGGGTAGGTCTGGGGGCGCCTGGCATGTGGGACCGCCCTGGCGGTTTTATTATTCACGGCATAAGGCTCCTTTTCTACCGCGGCTGCAGCTCCACAGCTCTAAACGAGGGGCCCTGCAGCCCCCCTTCCCGTTCCCTGCAGCACCGCGTCCTGTGTCCTGCGCGGTGCAGGGGCGGCTTTGAGCTGTCTTGCGAACTCCGCGTCACCCACAGCTTCTGCAGCGGAATCCTGGAGCAGCCCTGGTGGTCAGGGCACAGATCTCCCCACGGAAGCTGTCCTGACGCCAGTGCCCCTCAGTTTACAAAGCCCAAACTTCCCAGGATGTGAACCTCTCCAAAATGTTTAGCCAAAAGGTGTACATGGAAAATGTCATGTCTGTGACATTTCAGAACCACATCGAAATTCAGAACCATGTGCAGGAAAGGTCTCAGGTGAAAATTCCAGATGTAATTGTGAGACCCTGGGGTTGCTGTGTAGACGTGTTGAGAAGGGAGCCGAGGGGCCACACTTGCTGAGGGGTAAAGAGCTGTTTGTCCATCAGGAAGGAATGTTCTAGCACGGTGCAGATGATCATGATGGTGTTTTAGTTGTGTTTTGCAGAAACTGATGGAGAACTTGGAACTGATGAGTAATGCTTTATAATCTTTCCCACTGAGTGGGGCATTGAATACTGGCTTCTTTTTATACAAAATACCTGGATTTTAGGAACAGAACCTGATGCTAAGTGGAGGAATCTGTTTCACTTGAGGAAAAGGCTTTTGAGTAGGTTTTTGAGTTGTCACGCAGTCTTGCGGTTGAAGTTGACTGTCAGGGGCAGAGTGAGCGTGAGAGAGATCTGCGGCAGCTCTGTCTGTTTTAAAGGCTCCCGTCCGCCCCTGGGGCTTTGGTGAGCCTCTCTTGTCTGGCTCTGTGGTTTGTTTCTGGGTCTGTTTGGCCCTTTGAGCCACGGGCCAGCTACGTGGATCTTCCCTGTGGCCCCTTGGGAGGAAGGACCTTGGCTGCATGGGCCACCTGTAGGTCTAAGCCACAGAGAAAGATGGTGCTGAAACAGGGTCTGGCTTTTGAGGGGTTTTCTGGATTATTACGCAATCTGGCCACTGAAGTTGGTCTGTCAGGGGTAACGTGCGGAAGGGGGTCCATCTGTGCAGGCATTATGCGGTTTCATGATAAAGGATCTGAACCGGCAGGAACTAAGTTCAGGTTGCCAAAAGCCCTGCTTCCGGTGTGCAAGGACAGCAGGACACCAGAAGAGGGGGTTCGAGAAGATTTAAATCCTTTCAGCCTGGCACTGGGAGTCCCAGCACTGATCCTCAGCCTGGCCCCAGGCAGCTGCCGGTCATGGCACAGTGGTCAAGGACACCAGCCCCGACTGGAGGAAATCCCAGGAAAGCTGCCCGGCTGTAGTGAAATGGCCAAAGAGAACCTGCTTCTCCCTGCCTTCCAGCCCCTTCTGCCCCTGGGGGGTGAAGGCCACTGGCCACAAAGGAGGTGGCAGTAGGTTCCTGCACTGTCAGTTTATGACCTGGGACAGGAAGAGTCTCCACTTCTACGATCCGACAAGACACCCTGTTGGGCCAGGGGCTGTCCATCACTGGGGCAAAGCAAGTCTTGCTGTAACAACTGGGGAGACTGGCAGGGTAAACAACTGCACCCAGGAAAGGAAAACCCCAGAAACGTAGGCCCACCTGTGTTCTGTAGGCAGCCTCTGCAAGGGATCTTCAAGGAGCCTAAAGAAGGGGACGGAAAGGGCCTCCTCCACCAAACACCAGCACGCCTAGTGCGAGAAAAAGGCCCTAAGGGAGTCTCTGGGTACCATTGTGGGGAATGTCGATGGCACTGTGATAACGATAATGGTGACAACAGGTCAGGCTTGGAAATATCCTGGGCTCCAACCCCTTGAATGCAGCCTGGGAGAAAAAAGACTAAAGCCCAGTTTGTGCACACGCTGGGTGTCTACCCCTCTGCTGGATGGAACTTGTTGTGTAAATTAAATGCACAGGTAATATTCATAAGGACTGTTTCAGAATATGAGTTTAAGAAAGGGTCTGAAACTGGAAAAAAGAGATAAGAAAGTTACGGGTATGAAAATGTATTTTATTATGGAAAATTAGAAGGTAATGTTTCTGGATGAGGATTTATTTTGTATGGTAAAGTCCAAGATGAAAGAGGGCAAAACTAAGGGTGTAGACAAGGTGCGAATGTCTAAGTAAGTTGCAGAAGGTCTGTGAAGGTACGTCTCAAAAAATGTGTATGGGATTAAATTGGCTATAATTAGCATAGTCAGTCAAAGTTTTTCAAATTTTAATGTGCTGATATGAAGCAAAGTGTGAAACATTGATCTGCTCTTATCTATCCAGATGATTTTCTTTTATCTGTTAGGTTTTATTACTTAGGAAACTAAGTCTTCTTAAAGGGATTAGGGTTCATACCTATCTTAAAGTCTTTTAAATGATTACTTCATAACTGGTTAAATAAATAACCCTTGTTTTAGGTTATAACAAAATATAGTTGACTCTCTAAATATATGTGATTGGATATAGTTACACATCTGAGAACTATATCTGTCTGAGCCTTGGCTAAGTGTTATGTAAAAGCTTATAAAATGAAAATTTATCTAGGTTTACTGGCAAGGTAACCAGTAATTGTTCCCTCTTATACACTGTTCTGACATAGAAGGGCCACACAGTCATTTGAAGACCTGTCTTATAGCTGTTTGCTTTGACTGAGTCTATTTCTGATCATGAACACTGTTTCCTAAGTATGAGATTTGTTTATCCTTTGATTTTTGCTAGTACTGCCAACACAGGCAGACCTGTGATTATTGTAGCTATGTATACTATGGATTCTAAATTTTATTTTGAAAGCTAAACAGTTAGATGTAAAGTTTAGGAGAGCATTTAGCCAAGTTGGTATTCTTTAAGCTAAAGTTGTCTGCAACAATAGTCTCCTTCAGATTTATACAGAAATAACGAATTTGGTTGGTATTTATTTATGACATTTGATATTTTATGACTGGATAAAGGTTACATGTTGTAAATAAGTTACATATAAAATTTTGCATTACTCTTTACACTGGGATGGAAATTTAAATGGATTTTTGGAAGGTAATCCAAAAATACATTTAAATTTCTGATCTGTTTAAAGGTGACATTGTAAAACATAGAAGCACTTTGCCATTTTTTCCACGAAAAAAGTTAAAAAAAACTCTTTTAGCCTTTGTTTGATTCAAGTTTCAGATATAATATTGTGTTGTGTTATTTGTCAAGAGCCCTCCTTACCTGAGAGAAGGCTCTGCCTCCCACCTCACTCCATGTTAGAATGCCTCTATAATAGGCTAGACTTTAGCTCATTTAAAGTTGGGTTCAAAAAATGGATTTTTGTTGTAAAGATTACTGTGATGTCAAAATAAACAGGGAATATAATATACATAAGTAAAAGTTTAAGATTATAAAAATCACTTTTCTTGGTTCATAGCTATTATACAAGCTGAATATGTTTTTGCCCTCTTAGTTTCATTCTGTATTTTCCTTGTAAATTTTATAACTCTTGCCTGTTAGTGTTTTGCAAAGGTACTGCTTCTAAAAGTTAATTTGAGATAATAAGCCATCACCTACAGGGCAGACAGGATATAAGGCTGGCTTACAGCCCTATACCAACCTTTAAATGAAAGGGATAACTGTAAAATTACAGACATGGAGGTTAAAACACATTTCTCCCACTTCAAGACTAGTGAAACTTGCTTGCTGGATGTTTAAAACCAAAAACTTGGAGATCAAAATCAAGGAAGTATAAGGGCCAAGGAAAGAGCACCTAAAATTCTGGTCCTTGCCCTCAAAGGTCAGCCAGGACCAGAGAATAATGAGACCCCTCTCTGGACCCTGCAACTCTGGTGAGTCACCTGATCTGCTGATCAGGTAGATTGAGAGGACCCTAGAGAACAGGAAGCCAACCAGTGCACATTCTGCAAAGAGGAGGGTCATTGGAGACAGAAATGTCCCTGATGCTTCCAAGAGAAGCCACATGTAGTCAGGCAGACCTGACCCATCCTGGCAGGTGGCATTACTGGTAAAGGAAAGTTAAAGGAGCCAGGAGGCTTCGTACATGTCCCCAAGAGTGATCTCTGAGGAATCTCAGCTGACTCTTAAGAATCGATAGGATCAAGGTCAGTTTTAATCAACTTAGTCTTAAACACCTGGCTGGCAGGAGAGTACAGCCAAGGCACAGTCCTACAGGGACATTTAAAAGGAAGATAATGGTTCTGTAAAATGTAACTTAAGATGTATATTTGTGTTGGCCCTACCAAAAGTGAGTAACTCTGCAGGCCATAAAGGAAGAGTTCTTGTATGGGAGTGTCTAATAATAATGATTGAAAGGGACTCTAGAGTCACAAGTTTGTCCTGAGTTAATTTGAGCCTGATCTCATAGACCTACAAATTTTCCCTAATCTCCTACATTGACAAATCTGTTTTTCATTGATATGATTATGAGTTAGTGTCTTCATGGTTTTCAGAGACTGGCTGAAATACTAATTGCTTTTGTGCTAATTGTTTACAAAAAGCAATGCTTTGCTGTCTTGTTTATTGTTGACTTAGCATGAACCCTGCCCTGTGTATAGCTGTCCAGTCACCTGCCATCTGCCACTGTGGACCTCTGGACT